CAACGCCTCGGGGTCAGATGCAATATAAAGTCTTGCCGTTTGGCCGTAAAACCGGACCAGCACTATTTCAACGAGCAATTAATTCCATCTTGCGCCAGCATCTCTTCCTCAGGTGCCTTGCTTACGCCGATGATGTCATTGTGTTTGGTGAATCTTTCGAAGCGTTATGTACTAATCTGAGAGCAGTCCTTAAGACCCTGTGCAGGGCAGGAGCCGCCATCAACATCCTGAAATCTAAATTCCTTGCGCAGAAGATAATGTTTCTTGGTCACGAGATTGATCAAACAGGTACCCGGCCCGCCAAGAAAAACGTCAAAGCGGTCCGGAATTATCCTCGCCCAGAAACCACGCGCCAGATGCAGAGGTTCCTAGGTATGGCAACCTACCTGCGCTCGCACCTGCCAATGAATTTTGCCAAACAGGAACGTGTTCTTCGCTCCATCATCCCAAAAAAACCGGCTATCCGTTTACACTGGAACGCTACAGCGGATCACGCATTCCAGTTTATCAAGGAAAAACTGGCCGAAACCACGAAACTGGAACGTATCGACCCCGAATTGCCCCTGGAGGTTCATTGTGACACGTCGGCTTCCTCCTTGGCGCGGTTCTTGTCCAACGGGACCCACAAGACCAGCCCAGAATCATTGCATATGCTAGTCGGGTTTTGACCGATACAGAAACCAGGTATACCAATTCAGAACGTGTTACTTGCTATTGTGTGGAGTGTGACCCAAAAATTTCGCCATTATTTAGAGTACCGTAGGTTTACAGTGAGTACTGACCATAAAGCCCTTTTAGGCAATCTGCAGACAGAGAGATTGATACGCCTATGCCTGATTTTTTTCATCTTGAAAACTTTTGCCTCTTTCCTGTTTTTGCCAGAGTTTCATAATTTAAAAAAATTTGGATTTCCCAAATTGAGAAATTTTTTCAAATTCTCCAGGGGCTTATTTTTCCTGTGGGCCTAATGCTGCAGCATCAATAGCACCCACCTTAATCCGGCCCTGGCTGAGGCAGTAAAATCAAAAACAATTCATGACAATTCTTTCTTTAGTAGTTTGACGGTGTTACATCTTTCTCCCTGCACATTTCATCACAGCATTTTGACTTCCAGTAACAATACGATCACGAGTACAACGCGAATGAAGTCAAAATGTGGAATGTATAGAAGCCTCACGATCCAAGATAAGCTACAAAAAAAATGAAACATAATAAGAAAAACGAAATTCTAGATCTTGACAAAAAAAATCCATAAAAACCGGGGAACAAAATGTTCGTGTATCGTCTGAACATGAATTTTCCGTTAGAAATACGCACTTCACAATCCGCGCGGTAACCTAACGTCTGAACGCTCAGGAGGAATAAGAGCAAGAAAAAACTAACCATTACGAATCCAACGTCGGCGTTCTTCAAAACAGATCCAATATTGGTTGGTAAAATTTCCGGCACTTGTACAGCAGCGAAGACTTACCGATTTTCGCTTATTTTGGAATCAATGATGCCTTTGAGAATGGAGCAATTTTTCCTTGAGTGCAGCGTGGGCCAACACCCACTGCTTTGGCCAAACATTATCGATCAATTGTTGCAATGTCGTCTGGCCAGATGCATAATGTAAACGCCGATTGAACTTGCCGTCAAGAATCAACAAAGGATCTCTTGATTTTATGACACCACATTCACCCGCAATCGATCATGCAGTGTTGCAGACGGCTCATGCGAATATACGGATTGTAATTGAAGCTCGCTGACATTGCGTAAAGGCATCTGAGAAATGAAAAGAGGTCAAAGAGTGCAGTCTTGATTCAGCAGCTAGTACTGTACTGTCATCAAAACCAAAAGGCTCAAAAACGGAAGAACAACGCAGATGCACAGGTATCATAGGATTCATAGATTTGTCAGGGCATGCCAAACACAACAATCATCATTTGCAAAAGAACCCAGAAGGTTGATTCGAATCAAGCCTACTCGAGAAAATAAATTGTAGGCAGACCGAAACATTCGTGCCAGGCTTCGGCAAATATCCAAATGCAAACATAATCGGTGTGCATCCGTCATTGGAACCATGGCAATTGGCATCAAAACGCGGTTTATGGCATTGAGAAAGCTCGCAAGACTGCATAAAAGAACCACTGCCGATGACTTCCTCGTCTCAATGACCGTGATAAAACCGGTACATAATTCTTGGCTCCGTCCAAGACTGATGCGAATTATAATCTCGATTATTCTTCCATGAGGTTCCGCGAGCCACCCATTTAATCGAACATCTGAACATTGCTACTTGTATCGCACGAAAGCATAAGTACATTCCAAAAGCGTCGAATAGAGATCTGCATTTCCAAGTCGGAACAGCGCGATTAACATGGAGGTTCGATCACACACGCGACTTTTAGCCAGAAAAAATATAATTTTCAATTATTGTAAATAAGGGTGGTCATGTCTTACCGCTGCTGTCCTCTATCCACCAAACGTTCATGCTCCTCAATTGCTTTAATACCGACATCTATGACTGTTACACAAATATTTTCTTAAGAACATATTTCAAGAGGATTGAAATTTGCTTGCATTTTCTTACTACAATATGAATGAAACATCATAATGTTTGCTGTACAAGTGATGTGGTGGGTCCAATGTATGCTACTATGCTGTCCTGTAATGCAGTTGAAATAAAAATAAATTGGAAACAATAAGTTTACACATTTCATTTATGCCAGGACCTAATAGAGGCAGGCGTTTGCACAACAGCGCGAAAAAGGATCATGTATTATTTAAATTGAATTTCAGTGAGACAGCCAAATTTTGAAATTTTAGCCCCAGAACATTTGGCCTCAAAAAAAGTTGGGTAACTCAACTTCGATTAGCTAACCAATGGATTTTTCTTGCAGAACAAGAGTTTTTTTAACCAAAAGGGGGGGGGGGTATTTGTCCACTGTATGGCATCCTTATTCGCAATACTGTAATCGCTTTCTTCCCTCATTCTGTGATTGTTGAAAAAAAAGGTGCATTTCCTCTCAGGCTCAAATGCAGCTCTGTATATAAAGAGTATTGGTGATTAAAAATATGAATAAAACTGTACCCACTAACAAAAAATTAAATGCTGAATATTTTCCAATTTTGCGGATGCATGAGTTCCATTTTTAGCTGAATGCAGGTTTTTCTTGGCCGGTATAGATATATACAGTATATACAGATACAGTAGGAAGGAAAATTTGACAGCTCCTTAATTCTCAATATACATGTTTGAACCTCAAATGCTCTACGAATACTGTATTCATTATACTACTTGGATAATATTTTCAAGTGTCGGCATTACTAACACACGTACAGTGTTCGTTTCCTCTTAGGATGCGTATTGCATTTGAATATTTTTCCTACTATGATTTGCATATATATTCAAGGGATTTGATCAGGCTGAAATACATCAGGTGCATGGTTTATAAACCCCTAGCCTTGAATAAGAAGAAACACAACCTGAAAATATTCCGTTTTGGTCTATGCGTTTTTACAGGAAATATAAATTTTAAAATTCATAAACTTTTTCCATTTATTATTCAAATCATCAAATGTCAACTACAGTATTCTAATATTGTGCCTCGGATGCTGGAAATGCTACCCAACTCTCCTTTACCACAATAGTCCTACCAAGGTAGTTTTTATCCTGGATGGGAAAAAACCTACAAAATATTATCATAAAATGGTGCTCTAATTTAATATACATGGTGGCATATGTTTTTCCAGGAGGTATAGCATTGATTAATACAGACAGTTAGACAGAATCCATTACCTGGTTGTGCGGTCAATCCTAAAAATAAATCCATTTCAAGGAAGAATCTATTGTTGCACTGAGCTGGATCAAGAATCTCAGAACTACAACAAACTGAGACGTACACAACACCAGAATTAAATGAAAATTCATCTGAACAACAATGAAGACATTTCAAAGGCTAAAAGAACAAAACCCAGCAGATCTTGTATGTGACATTTTCACATAGCCCATGACCGTTGGAGGTGCCAACAAAATTTGTGTAACTAGCCTGGTTGGAGACTGAGGTAATTGAGCAATATAAGCTCCATGATTTTATTCCCATGCAAATCCATTATGAAATGATAAACACAGAAAACCATAACAAATTACCAACACAAATTTAACTAAAGAACAATTTTTACAGAATACAATAACAAATATGGTAGAATCTGCTCAATAAGCTAGAAAGAGCAAATTTCCCTCAGAACCAACACAAAGGAACTCCAATCACTGTTCCTTTTGGACTCAAGACCAACAGAAATGGGATGTTCATGCCCACAAATTGAACTTTGTGCAATTATTTTATTGATATATCAGTACAGAATTCACTCTAGTACCACAAAACCTCATGTAAGACAACCTCAATTTTTGAGACAAATCAATACATTTTAAAAACAAACAACCCAGTTTGCTATATCAAAAATGATTAAATTTTGAATTCACTTGTGCTGCATTATTTTTGTCTACATTCCTATCTGTCGGTTTGATTTGAGTTCTATTCATACGGGTCTCCAAACAATTACTCATTTGCATATAATATGCATGTTTCATGACAGACCAACAATTTAAGAAATGTATACTAAATTTGAACAAAAAATGTATACTGGAGTAGCTAGACCATGACATAAACCCCACATTTTTAGATTAGTTTTTGGAGGGAAAAAGTGAAAGTGGGAATTTTTCAAGTATCATTTGTCAAGCAAATAACTCATGAAATCCTCGACGAATGTCACAGTTCAGCCATGCATTTCCTCTCTGCTGCCTAAGAAAACACCTAAAAAAAACACAACACAGAAAAACACTGACAAAAGAAAAAATAAAACAGGATCCTCCATCCTGCAGCAGCAAAATCGTAACACAATAATAATCCAAAGTCTTAGCTGCAAAAAAACAACCCCAAAAATTCTTGAAGCGCTATATAGTGAGTCGAAAAATCAGAAGCACTGACCGCGTGCGAGATAACCGAAGTTCATCTTGATTTTGTTTTTCTCAACAAAAAAAAAAAAAAATGAACAAATATTCCGTCCAAAAAAATCCATCGCTTTCGCGTCCGAATATAAATGCCACGGGTTCGCCCAACACGGTTTCTTGGACCTTGTTCGCACTTGATTTAGCGGCTCTTCCCGGAAATAAAACGAATCCAACTCACCCACGTCTTCGTCCCAACCAACAAATAAAAGAATAAGGAACCCCCGGGAGGAAAAAATTGAATTATCCGACGAAAAATTCCACACATGTATAAGGTCACCTGAATTTACGAGTGAAACTGGACGAAAGCATAAACAAAGTTAACATTTCGCAAATGAGCTGTTACTAAAATTTCTTTTTGGCGACGTTTGTCTGGCGCTGGGAAGGATTTTCATGAATTCTTTTTCGTACTCACTTGCCTTCACTTCTGCATTTATCCCTTCGCAAAAACCGCACACATCACAATCCTAGGCACGTCGTAACAAAGTCCACCATACCTTTCCCCCGTGTAAAACATAATAAAGACACATTCGCGGACGGCAATGTTGCAATTTGAAAAAAAAAGAGTGGAAGCTTATTGCTTTTCCAGAGCGTTTCAACAGAATGTAAACTTTTTGTTCCTTTCGTCAAAAGTTCACCGCTTTAGCAGCACTGAAAAATTACTTCTGAATACGTAAATATTTCCTTGGATATTGCTTACTAGTGATGCGCATCGAATACCTCCGACAGCCCTCCACAAAATTCCAAAGGACTTCACACAATTTCCACAATGGAAAAGTACAAAAAAATATCGTAATTTCCGAACCATACTTCGCTCTTCTTTTTCGCATGATGTCTCGACACATATTTCCAATCCTTACAACTAATGGAAGATGTATTTTACTAAGCATTCAAAAAGTTAATGTGCAATGGAGAAATCTGCATTTCCGGTACACTTAAAAACCTTGTTGAAGCGCATTATTAGCGTAACACATTTTGAAGTTACATAATGACTGCCTCCAGCAGAAAATATAAATACTGTATGGCAAATATTGCTAATGATCTTGACTATCTTGAGGGTCAAAGAAATGCAAGCATATCTTCCAACTCGTGAATACAAACTCTTCGTCGATGAACTATAATGAGGACAGCGTAAAATCAGAAGTTCAATCCATGGTTAAAAGAAAAAAAATTTCAGAAGGACAAACTAAGAAAATTTCCATTGTGATGAATCTCCGCACAGTAAATTTCTGGACACTATGTAATCAAAAATTCCAACATTCCCAATGCTGAACCGATATGTTTTTCGTGCAAAGCAAGTGAGTCAACATAGGCACTATTCCTTTTTTTTTTTGTTACAACATTTAAATGGACACGAAATGCCGGAAAAATGTAGAAGCTCGCAAATGAGACACCAAGTCGAAAAAGTGAACGAGATATCGGACGTCGATACACGACCAAATTCTTCCAAAAATATAAAAGAGGAATCCGTCAGTCGTCGGAAACTTTCTCAAGGTCGATTTAAAAAAAACACTGATCGACCTCGCTCCAAACATGTTAAGAATCGAGCGCATCGTCTCAATTTGTAAAAATTCAATAGAACGTAAAATACAATCTATCTCTTCTGTTTTCTCTCTCACACATTCACTAAAAAAAAAGACACACACAAATTTGTCTCGATACGAGGGCATGGAATTAACCAGAAAAAAAAAACTCAGTCCTCAATCTCCCGCTGAGCCTTGGAAATCTTGACCTTGTCCTTGGGCGTGGCGCCTTCGCCGCTCTCCACCGCAAACATCTTCATCTTTTCGCGGAAGGTGAGCTTCTCGGGGTTCGGCGAGGCGGCCGTGGTGACGGCCGACGCCTTTTCTGCGAGACGACGTTGGCGCGGATCGCGGTACACCTCTTGGGCGCCAATCACACCCGGGGTGTTCCCTGCACCCACTGAAGAGTCAAAAGGGCTCGTTTGTGCCAACAGCTCTGTAGCCTCAGTCAAAAAGGTCTCCGGGTGCGTCGGGGTGTAGTTGAGGTTCGCGTTCGAGTCCGTCAGTCCCTGGCGAAATGTCAAAATGCTATGTTAATCGATTCCATCACAACTAATTCAATTCATTTTCTCAAGCACTTGAGGCTGGTAGTTTACGAGGGTTGCCGTGGTTCCGCGTGAAGGTTGACATTTTCGACGCGTTTAGAAGTGCAGTGCAGAAAAAATAATTATAGAAAATACAGTACAGTGAAATCTTGCTACAACAAACTTGTGGGGACTCCAGAAAAGTTTGTTATAACGAATAATTTGTTATAACAATATTTTTGAAATTTTTCACTGATTGGAAGATTTTCTAAAAATTAAATCTGCACAAATTTAACATCACTTTTTGCAACTTTTCAGCTGTTCTTGGCATTTAAAAAACTGTGATCCTCATAAAGAAGTTTACATTTTAATCACACACATTTATTATGAGTCACAAGTCAACACCAGCACTTCCTGTTGATCGAGTTTTTCCAAGCAACTCATAAGGGTGGATTTTCCAAAGAAGCTAACAATTTCTAAGCATCAGCACAGGATTTCTCAAGCATACAAATCCTTTCTGACATGAGTTTTGTTGGGTTCATTTTTTCCTATCCATCTTTACACCCAGGAAAAAATTTTGAAAGAAAAATTGTTCAGGTGGATTTTGAATAATTTTCATCCTTGATTCCACCTCATGTCCCAAGAACCAGTCACAGTCCCACTTCGAATGGGGAAACTTGAGACTGTGCCCGCATTCATTGGGAATTTTTCTTTAAGAAATCACATGTTCCTTGAAATTTTTTTTTATAATTGAATTGGTGAGTTTGTTATGACAAGATTTTTATAAAATGTACCTTTTTTGCAAGTCGATCTATTCTGTGTAAGAAAATGTCACATTCGAAAAAAATTTTGCTTCTGTTCAAACATGAGAGATTATTCAAAACGTTCTTTCGACACTTACAAAGAATCAATGAAAAATAAAAGTACGGCTTGAATCTCTCTACGACGAAATACTCTCTACAAAGAAATTTTTCTCGTCCATTGAATTCAGAAATTCGTTGCAGAGAACCCTTAAATTTAACATGGGTAGAGAACCCTGCGCTCATGAGACCAAAAAAATCGCTTTGAAGAGAAAACCGTTGTATAAATGTCGATAAACTCGGTGCGGACTTCAGAGAAAGGGTTCACCTCAATGTTGCCGTTTGGTCACCTCAATGTTGCCGTTTGCAAAACGAACTCATTCGAGACAGAACTTGAACTAAACGTTGCAAAAAATTGACTCTCGCATAATTGTCCATTATATTCGTTGTATCTCAAAGAAGAAGAAAAAGGAAATAGACACGTGAGAGACGACAACAAAATTCATCAGGCGTTCAAATACATTAGAATCACGTTACAACGAATAATCGCTTACGACGAAGTTTTTTTTTTAGGTTCCTGCAAAATATCCACAGTGTTGAATGAGGTACAGTAGTACTTGATGAGGAATAACGAGATTTCACAGAGTACACTTGGAACATGTCCCTGTTTGAAGCACTTCAAGGAACTCACGTTTTCCACGCCGCCATTCGCACGGATGAGATTATCCAGTCGACGTGTCCCGGGTTCCGCCGGCGGCGACGAGCTCGGCAGCGGCGGCGGCACGTCGCCCCTCGGCGTCCTCCTGCCTCCACCACTCCCACCCACCACATCTTCTTGCTGCCGCCGCTGCGCCTCTCGAATGATCCTCTGCTCCACCTGCTGGGCAGCCTCCAACTGCGCCGCCTTTCGTCGCATCTCCTCCAACTTCTCCTGCCGCGACAGCGACGTGAGACTCGGATTCGACGCTCTCAGAATGGTATTATTGTTCTGCTCAGTGAAGGCGAGTGACGCGATTCGCCGAGTGGCGTCCTCGTGGTCCGCAGGCGCCACGGCGTCATTGAGGAACCGGTCTCGACTGCGCGAGATTTCCAAGCGCACGTCCTTGGCCTCCGCCTCGTCATCCTCGTCTCGCTCTTCTTCTTCTTCTTCTTCGTCCTCATCGTCGTCGTCTTCTTCGTGCTCGTCTTCGTCGACCGTGGCCCGACGTCGGGACTCTTCCTCCGCGCGACGCTGGAATTCCCGTTCCAGTCGCAACGCCTTCAACTGATCCTCTTGTCGCTGGTTCAAGCTCGGCAACGACTCCAGCAACGCAATCTGTTCCTCTCGCCACAATCTCGCCGCCTCCACTCGTCTTTCCGCTTCCTGCAATCAATCACGTAGAAAAAAAGATTAAAAAAAAAAAAGGTCTAGCAAGTTTCCGCACGAAAAAAAAAACAACCTGGAATTGAATACTGTATGTACAGTAAAATCTCGTTACACCGAAGCCGTTGGGACCAGTTGAAAGGCTTCGTAGTAACGAAAAATTCTTCATAAAGGAACTATTTCAACATTCTGGCTTTCGGGCAGAGACCTAAAAAACGAGTTAAACAAAATTATTCGTTAAAATGAGATTCCTTGTAACGAGATTCTTCTGTATTTATAAAGACAGCAAAATTCACAATCCACAATCACAGGACAGCAAAGAACCCAACAACTAAGATTTTCTTCAAGAAAAAAAAAAACGAAAATGCAGTACTCTCTAACCAATATTCTCTTTCACCAGCCAATTGCTGTAACTTGTAAAATATAAGGGTTCAAGACGTTCTTCAATAAATTATCTTTTTGCATCCAGACTTAAGTACTGTACTGTACAATCAGCAGGACACTATATTCCTCAACTGAAACATCAATGAAGGCAAAGAAACATTTTAATCTTTGATGTGAAAATTGTGAGATTTTTGAATCCAGTGATTCATTGGCTTTACTTGTGGTGAAATTGAGCCATTAATGGGTACACAGTATTCTCCAGTACCCCTTCGGTATGTGAAACTGCAGCTCTGTTAACAAACTCATGGCATTCCCATAAAAAAAGTTTATGAAATTCTCAAGTGACTAGTTGGTGGAATTACTGCAGTGTAAATATATTTGTTATTGCATCACCAGAACATCTTTTCTCATGCAGCATTCAGCACCATCATAAGTGAACTTTTGAATAACTGGGGATTTCCACACCTTAATAAAAAGGTACTCTCATAAATCTTAAGAGGACCAGGAACAGGTGAGAGCTTCATATGATCTCTTGAAAAAGATTATATTTAAATTGCGTAATCAATTAAAAACCGTCTGGAAACAGGCTGAACACCTTGTGTTTTAAATTGTGCTTGGTAATTGCCTTCTGCGGTGATTTTTGTCATGAAAAAAGCGTGTCCGGTCAGCCGCCGTCGGTCAATTCACAGTCGCGCACCCGCCAGTCGTCAAGCGCCGGTCAGTCCAACCGCCAGCCAGGGCAGTTCTTGGCCACGCCAATCCCCAGCCCACCAAACTGCGGTTTGGTCACTCGATTGTCGGGGGAACTGAACAATTGGGTGACAAGAATCATGCTGATTTTTTTTCAGAATTCAGTGAGCAGAATGGTATCCTACCACAGATTTTTCTTTTCAAAATTTCAGCAATGTTAGGTTAGGATAGGTCAGTTTATGTTATGTTAGTTTAGGTTAGGTTAGTATATGTTAAATTAAGTTAGGTTGGGTTTGATGAGCTTTTTCTTTTTGTGAAAATTTTTATAAGATGAAATTTTGTAAAGAAAAAATAATCTGTGGTAGGATACCATTCTGCGCACCAAATTCTAGAAAGAATCAGCATGATTCTCGTCACCCAATTGTTCGGGTGCATGGGGATTGGCGAGGCCAAGGACTGCCCTGGCTGGCGGTTAGACCGACCGGCGCTTGACGACCGGCGGGTGCGCGACCGTGATTTGAACGACTGGCGGATGACCTGGTACCGAAAAAAGATGGCAATTCCTCATCCATACATCTGTATGTACTGTGTTGTTTTTTATTTTGATACCCTCACAGGGTATTATTTTTTGATATGCTGGAATGTGTTGAATGGATTTGTGGGGGATGCGGGAGAATTTTTCTCTAAGTTTGTGAACGCTGACAAGTAACAAATGATGCTTGCACAGTTTATGAATGAACCAACCAATATTCGTAACCATCAAGCTTGCAGAAATGAAGCCTAACATTCGAAAAAACCTATTCGCATGCAAATGAACGGAAATGTGCGACTTCAGAAACTGAAGAACTTCCTCTTTTACAAAGCATGCTGAAAGACAAATAAAATCTTCCTGAGGATGAACTCACAGGCATGACAGCCCATACGACTCGGATATCATTGGCAGGGATAACCTTCATCTTTTCGTTTGTTTGTTTGTTCACACATCAGTGCCCGAAGCAGCATGAAATGAATGACCACTAAAATAATGTAACTTCATACAATATTCAAGAGACAGCACCCCAACAGTACACGCATTTCCACTGCTCCGATCTACGACGACCCCAATTCCAAAATTATACTGATGAATAGGCGTAGCCAAAACTTTTGTTTCAAGTCAGAACATCATTTTTGTTATCCCTCAGAAATTACATTTTTTGTTAGATCATGAATCATCCGTATGTGTCAAAATAGCAAGAACAACACAATGAATGTAGAATTTCAACAATTCGCAATTGCTTGAGAATGCCTCAATACCACTTTCTGACCAATCGAAAATGCTTCAGCTGTACGGAACCAATACATGAGAATTTTGCAACCAATGTGCTCCTTTATGATTTACCTGCAAGGTGCGATCCTCGAATAATGTACAAGAATTTTGATAAATTTTGCAGAAAAATTTTTGCACTCGAGTATGAGGCGCACCCCATTGCTCGGCCTCGAATACTGAGGGAAAACAAAAATTCGCGAGGTACTCAAGTAAATAGCACAAAAACTTGAATCAGCACCAAACGTTGAACGTTTTTTTCGGTTTACTGGAATTTGTCAACGCCACCTTCGGTCCAACTCACAATGAGCTACTGTACATCAATTACTTTCGTTTTTTTTTCTCAAGTACTGTACACTTCAAAACAACACTTGCGAAGGCGTTTCTTGTCTCTGGAAAAGATATCCCAAGAACCGGATAATTTTTTTCATCACCAAAACAAACCAATCGACTCAAAAACCGGCGGCGGATCAAACTTCTCACCTTCTCCTCTGCTTCCCGCTCCCACGGGCTCTTCGGACTAAAGATCTTACTGATGTGCTGACTGAGCTGCGTCTGAGAGCTAATCGGAGGCGCGGATCCGTTTCTGTCAGTCCTCAGAGTCGGCGTGCCGTCACCCCCACCGCCACTCGTCGTCGTCGGCAACCGACCATTGTGCAATTCCGTTGTTCGCGGGGTCGTTCCTCCGCCCGACCGAACGCCGCCGCTACTCACCAGAGTTGCCGCCATTCCACGCGCTTCTCTGCGTCGCACCTCTTCGCTCATCTCTTGAAACTTGGCACCACGAGAAGCAGAGTGTTGGTGTTGGTGGTGATGGTGCTGCTGATGTTGTAGTTGTTGCTGAAAGTGGCCGCGAGATGGCAGTGTGCTGGGATAAGCACCAGGTGGAGTGGCGTAAGCACCGGGCACCATCGAAGGCGACGCCAGGTTCTGCGTGGAACGATGTTGGTAGCCGTGATGAGTCTGCATTTCGGGTTGCTGGTGTTGGTGGTGCAGCAGATGCTGTTGCTGATGCTGCTGGTGATACGGTTGCGAGAGTTGCTGCTGCTGCTGTTGATGTTGTTGTTGTTGGGACCCCGGGGGCGGCTGATGGTGCATGTGGTGCAGTGGCACAGGGGTAGTCGCTAGGAGGCGCTGTGGCGGCGTTTCATCGTGCGCTACACAAATAACAAAAAAATACAGATCTTTGGTTATTTCCGGCGCGAGAGAAAAAATATAGTTGAGACCCATTTTCGCATTTCAAGACAGGTACAGTAGAATCTTGATAAATCGAACCTCTTAAAGTCGAATATCTCCCAATGTCAAATTCTTTTCGGGTCCCTGTCTGACTTCACTTGGAGAAAAAGCATGAAAGTCCTTCACAAATCGTAGCCTTTTGGCTACTATTCAATGGACACAGGGAAGAGAAAAGCAATAAAAATGTGCCTTGATGCGTTTTCAAATTAATTGGACAAGGAAAGCCATTGTCTCCAACTTCAGCATCCTTTCAACTCATTTAGGAAGCAATTTAAGGCCAAGAAATATCACCAAGTACAATTTCTTCTGTTTTCTTTCTCCCCAACACAAATGCTAGTTTATCTAAATCGAAACCTTTGTAACTAAATTTTTTTTTACTGGTTTTCTTGAAGTTCGACTCGCAGAGCGGTTCTGCTGTGTATTCAAAAGACCCATCAATGAGTACGAATGGAAAGCCTAAAAGCTTCTTTGCCAAGATAAACGGGCGACTTTTCATTCTTCTTCGTGTTTCATTTTTTGAGATGTTTACTCAAGTCGTTTGGGAAATGATTTATCTTTTGAAGGTACAAGTATTGACTTATAAAGTACTTTCAAATGTGTGTTTCAAACAACAGGACAGCTCAGTGGTGAAGAATTTCCTCGATGACGCCTATTTTCAATGCAATTGAGTTGCGACAGGTCTTGGCTAATTCCGCCAGTGTTTCTCAATCTGTACAAGAACTTCTCACGAACTCCTCTGATTCTTTAAAACAAATGTAAAGCACCAGATTATAATCTGAACTCAGCGATGAAAAGTGAAGTGAAACCTTGAGACACACAGAAATTGCAATGCGAAATGATAATACCCGTAGTGAATTCAAGTACAGTACAGTACCACTTCTCAAGCAGACCCGATTGGCTTGTTCCACTGACACAACACTAATTTTGAAGATAATCCTATTGGTAGACAAAACTATAGAACCAGCGCAAAAAGCAGAGTCCGACAACTGTCCGGGTTTGTTTTGAAATGAACACAAAATAATAAAACTGTGCACAAAATTGTCGTCTCATTACGTAGCTGTAACATGGCACTGTATCCACTGAATTGAATAGGAATGTCTTTGAAATCACCTGGAATTTCGAACTACAAACACGGAAAATAAGTTCACAGAGAATGATTTAAATTGGTTTCAAAGTAAATACTGAATGAAGTGTTTTTTTTTCTTCTCGAAAATAAGTAGTTCAAGAAGCAGTACATCATCCTTTTTTCATCCATCACCCCCAATTTTCGCAACAAAAAAAAAAGCCCTCAATTAAGATCGATTAATTTTGTTCGTCAAACCCACGCAATTAAAAAAATTTTAAACCCTGCAAATCACTTAACGAGGGTATGCAAATAATACCAACCTTCAGATATACCAAAACAATGGCCTAAAGACTACCACATTCACTTCAACGAATCTGAAAGACACGAAACGCAGCAGCAAGTGACTCAAAGAATCCCAGTCTTTTGGATCCACCTTTATACACAGCGGTACTTTTCTCGGGACTGAGTAATAAAACTCAAAACCGGTTCAGTGTCATAACTTTTTACTCTTACATTAAACGCAAAGCGCGCAACAAAAAAGAACCAATTCGTTGTCCGAGTTGCAGCATTGCGATCGGAAAAAAAAATTACGGGAGTTCCACCGGAATGAATAAAAAACAGAATAAATTCTACAGAATCAGTACTGAGAGAGAGAGAAGGGAGAAACGGACTTCAAAAATTGTTTTCATGACTGTGAAGCTAGATATAAAACGAGGGTTCCAACAAAATTTCTCGGAATGAAAATGATGATGGCGTCTAATCGAGCTGAAAAAAAATTATTCTTTTGGGAAAACTGCTTCTTGGGAAAACTGGAAAACTGTTTGACAATTTTTTTTAGTTCTGCAAAATTCACCCTGACAGAATTTTGCTATCCACTCAAAAGATGAGGCGCCCTTCCTGCAGTTTTTTTTTCCAGCCCAGCTTTTCCCTCAGAGTTCTTCAAATCAACATGGCATTAATTCCAAGGGTTGCCTCGTGATCTTCCAAGGTAATCCCGCCATTTTCATCAACAGCCGCCATCACAGCCGCTTAATTGGCGTCTGTCGATGAAAATGGCGGGATTACCTTGGAAGATCTGGAGGCCGTTATTTCAAGTCATTATTGAATTACCATGTGCCGGTATATTACAGTATTTCTTTGATGCCGTTTTCGCTCTCCATTTGATTAGCATCGATTGTCTGTATTCGGGCTAATACAAATTGCCGCCTTCACAGCCACCGATGTGGCGTCTGTGAAGGCAGCTGTTGATGAAAATGGCGGAATTACCTTGGAAGACCTGGAGGCAACCCTTAGAAAGGAATGCCACTTTGATTTTAAAAATTCTGAGGGAAAAGCTGGGCTACAAAAAATTTAAAAAACTGCAGGAAGGGCGCCTCATTTTTTTGAGTGGATAGCAAAACTCTGTCAGGGTGAATTTTGCAAAACATAAAAAAAATTTGTCAAACAGGGCGATTTTTTTGTGCCAAAGAATATGTTTTCCCTAAAGAATACTTTTTTTCAGCTCGATTAGACGCCATTTTCATTTTCATTCCGAGAACTTTTGTTAGAACCCTCGTGGATACCTTTTAACCCGACTAGCAAAGGGTTTCATTAGCCCGAACACGGACAATCAATGTTAATCGAATATAGAAAGAAAACGGCATCAAAGAATCACTGTAATATACCGGCACATGGCAATTCAATAATGACTTGAAATAATAACGGCATTGATTCCAAGCCATAAGTCTGGTGAGTAGATCAGCCCACTTGATGGGCCAATCAGAATGAATCAGTGAAGTGAGGCCGGTTATTTCAAAATTATATCGTTTTCTGTCCAATAAAAATTAGATCTTTTTAGAAAAGCAAAATAAATTGTTGCAGCCGAAGTACCTTGGTGCAGTATTTTCCCATCGACACTTATCAAATAATTCGATTTGGTTTCTCATTTCTAAAATTTTCCTAGTCTTGTATTTACTGAAAATCACTGATTGAGTCCTTGAAGATTGGCACTAGCGATTTATCAATTTTGGGAAAGGAATGTAAAGCAAAATCCAGGTTCAAAAAATTGGAAAGAATAAGCAATATTTACACTGCAACCAATTTTATCCACGTACAGTAATCCGAACTTATTTTCAGTGTTTGTTGTTGAAGTTTTCAGGTGATTTTAAAGACATTCCTATTTATTTCACTGGATACACTGCCGTGTTACAACTAAATATGACAATTTTATGAAGGATTTTCTTATTTTGTATTCATTTCAAAATAATCGCGGACAAGTTATCGGGCTCTCGGCTTTTCGCGCTGAAATTGCACAATAATTTTGTCCAGCAATACGATGATTGTGAAAATTACTATTGTGTCAGTGGAATAAACCCATTGGGTCTGCTTGAGAAATGGTACCTTTAGTGCACTGTACTTGGATTTAGTACTGGTACGTATTATAATTTCGCAATGCAATTTCTGGGTTTCTCAAGGTTCTATTTTACTTTTCATCTATAATTCCAGATTATAATCCGATGCATTACAGTTATGCTGTAGAATTAGAGGAGTTCGAAAGATGGTTTTGGAATGAGACTTGAAGAGGAAGTTTCCCAGCAGATTTTAGTCACTGAAGAAATCAACGGTCTCTTTCAACAGACGGTAATTTAATTGAAGAGTACAGAGAAGTTGCCCCCATCACATGGTACTCGAATAAATACAGTATGTTTAAAGTAGCGGGATGTTTCCAAATAATATTTTCAGCAGAACACCACCTCATCATGATTTTCCTAAATTTCACATAAACATCCCGACACTTTTCATTCACGACTTCCCAATCCCCCCACAACTTACAATGCAACGCTGGCACAGACTTGGACGCCGGAAGCCGCTGGCCCGGGTATACGGCGCCTGTAGGATTGCTTCCGCCGGCTGATGGCGGCATTGGGCGTCGCTGCGGAGCTGAGCCCGGTGCCAGATACGACTGCGAGTAGGCGTGCTGCGGCGGCGCTCCGACGTGGCCCGGGCGCGGAGTGGACGCCACACTGCCCGGGATGTCCCTCTCACTCGTGTGTCTCGGCATCGTTTCTTGTCCTCCAGCTACTTCATTCCGGCAGCGAGAACAAAAAGGCGAATCAGTTTACGACATTCACCGCAACAAAACGAAGGGGTTGATTGATAATATCTCTAGAATAAAATACAGTAATAATACCGTAGGTACCTTCAATACGAGGGGTCTAACAAAAGTTCCAGGAATGTAAATTGAAACGGCATCAGATTGAGCTGGGATATAAAAATTATTGTTCAGAAAAAAAAGCCCTGTTTGCCTTTTTTGCAGAGGATACTTTCCGCTCTTCACTCACAAGATGAGGCGCCCTTTTCGCATACATTTTGGTGCAGTCCAGCTTTCCCTTCAGATTTTTTTGAATTTAACACGGCAAGAATTCCAAGGGTTGCCACCAATAATTTATCATAAATTCCGCCATTTTCATAAACAGCCGCCATTTGGGATGAGAATGTGGCGGCTGTTGATGGAAGACCTCGAGGCAAACCTTGGAATTAATGTCATGTCCATTTCAAGAATTTGGAAAGGAGAAGCTGGGCCACACCAAAAATATCTCCGAGATGGGCGCCTCATCTGTTGGAAGAACGACCAGAAAGCTGACTTTTGCAACAAAAAAAAGTTGAACAGAATATGTCGAACAATTCTGAATTTTTCTTTTCTTGTGCCAAGGAATGTTTTTTTTCCTGAGGAATAATTCGTTTTTCAACTCCAAACATATGCCGTTTCCATTTTTATCCCAAGAACTTCTGTTAGATCCCTCGTACATAAGAGCCGTACAACGACGAGGGGGAAACGATTGAATCACAAAAACAAATATTTGTTTCACAAACGAAATTTTCGGCCGTAAAAACGCTCGAATTTTAGCAAGGTTTGCACTAAAAATTCGGAGTTTTCTAAACAAAAATCAATAAGGATCTGGGTTTGCATCTTCTCGTCTTCAAAATCAATGAGCTTCAAAGATATTCTATGAAATTTCCATGACTTTTACGAAAACACGGACAGTATCAATACTCCCCCGAAGTACAGTACTGTATTCTACTACAGGTTTAAATTTTTCTACAGCGACAGTTTCCATAAAATGAAGTTTCTTCTGGCAACGGCAACCTTTCAGTAAAGGAAAAAAAAAACGGGATGAACCAGAAAAGTACAGTAGGTTAATTTTCATACAGGAAACCACGAAACTTTTTCAGGTTCTTAGAAAATTAAAGAATTTTCGAAATATGCGTATTTGAAAAAAAAATAGGATTCCTGACTAACGAGCTCACTTCACAAAGGTGAGAGGGATTTAGAAAATGAGGGTCTCCGTTACACATCATTTTAAATGAAATTTCTAAAACAATCGAAATTCTTTCTGCAACATTCACTATCCGTTTTATTTTTTTTCCCCAATGGATTCGCGGTTTTTTATTGCTTGTGGAAGTTGAAACACCTTTATGAACACTGCGCATTGGGAATTTTATCGCCATCTAATTCTGACGAGAAGAAACCTTCAACATTTTTTTTTTTCATTCGTGCGATTTAAAGTACAGTGCATTAAACCACTCCCAGGCCACCTGAAAACCGAGATATTCAAGCTTCACATTTCCTCAAAGGTATAAAAGCAGAAAAACAATCGGAAACCAGAAAAATCCCGTTGATGAAATCAACAACATTCAACAATTTTCGAAAAAGTTTGCTGGCAGTCACATTTGCCATAGAAACTTTCCATTTTCGAATGAATGATGATTTTGTAACTACTTTATTGCACTGCATTAACCAAAGCAAACATTGCCTGGTCCTGTTGCGCAAAAAAAAAAAAAAAGATGTTATGCAAAGCTTCGCTCATCAGAGGGACTGAAGAACGAAAAAGAAATGGATTCTAAAAAAGAAAGAAGCTTTCTTATCTCCGTCCCGAGAATTATTCGCTATTTTTCCAAATTTTTTCACACCACATCCACCGATAAAAAAACTAGAATCCAATGAAAACAGAGCAAAAACGAATCTAAATACCTAAATGTCGGGCAGATTTTTTGGGGGTTCAAACGTCCCTAAGTTGAATCGTCCGTATGTCGGCACTACACCAAGATTTTCCTCACAACCTCAGGACATAAATTTATTCTACAACTAGAATACATTTATGAAATGTCGAAATCCCTTTCTCAAAAATTGGCAATCTTTCGACAGAAAAACTCCAGTACTACAAATTTTTTTTTGTACCCAGCTCCGCCGCGAGCGGAATAATGATGAAATTCGCTTCAGCATTTCAACTTCAATAATCATAAGATTAGGTGTTTCTGAAAATCCTTCGATTCATAAACATGAAATCATAACTTCAAGTTGATAAGTACTGTACAGTACAGTACTACAATTCAAAGCGATCACTTCATCAGAATCTTTAGCGACTGATGTAAAAATAACAATTGGTATTTAATACGGTAAACCTTTAAAAATACGAAATACTTCAGTCAAAAGACACCAAGGGGAAATTAAATTCATCGATCGACACCTGAACAAACTTCACCCAGTCGTTCCAAGAACCCATTCTTGTCAACATGTTCTCAATATCTCTTGAAAAAAAATCCAACCAAACCCATAGGAAGAAGATAAAAAAAATCCGAAAAGAATTTCAAAGTCGGGAGTGAGAGAAACATGTTTCACTATTCAACAGTCCCCGCTGCAAGGGGAATCTCCGGACTTGAAAAATGTTTTTCCCCCCTCAATGAAATTTGTTCAACCGTGTACAGACAGTACAATCATTGCAAAAATTCATTCCAAGACATAAAAACCCTACAAATAAGTCGTAAAGAGTATCTTTCACCGATCTTTGAAAAAGCCGACAACCTCTTGAACCAGTCACATTCCCGGTGAACGACGAATGACAATGCGTAACATAGACACAGTAGAGTTCAATACTGCACTCGAAATGACGATAAGCCACGCCTTAGTGCACAGACACCGCACTGCCATCCGAAAACAACAGAGTCGGTGCGTCATTAAATTCACAACAACATTCCAATTATCCTGTGCATGACTGCGAGTCCCGAGTGTATGGTGCAAATCCACAAATATCCCGAGAACAAGAAAAAAAAAAAAACGAAGCAAAAATAGCTAAGAGAAAAGGCTTATTTCCGCGAAAATGTCTCAAGTGTGCAGTTTCGTGCGTCCGTGCGATCCGACCTACGGCTCGATCTCCCACAGCACCTTTTCGGCACATTCTCCAATCAAGTGTGTTGCAGCATACTTTCAAGGGGAAGGGGGTCGTAAAAACTGGTCAATCACCTGGATTTTTTTTTTATTTCCGAAGGACATGATGCAATCGCTTTGCTTAGGAAACTTCTATCGTCGTTCGATCCACGAGAATGCTCTTCGAAAGAAGCCGGGTTCAATTTTGAACTCGACAAATTTAACGAGCGATTGAATGCATGGAATTATATCCGAGCTCCATTTTTTTCGAGGATATATACCAACAGTAAAATCTCGCCACAACAAACTTTTCGGGGCTTCAGAAAAATTTCGCGATGCTGAATAATTTGTCATGAGATTTTCAAAATTAATGACTGGAAAAAAATATTTTCTGACATTGCCAAATGTTTTCTAATTGTTTGAAAAACTGAGAGATCTTCCGAAGAAAAATCAGCTTGAATCATGCATTCCATTGGTGGCACCAATCTCTTCATTCTTGGAGGATGATGTGTGGAACCATTTGGAAGAATGTTTGTCATTGATTACAGCTTCCGTCTATGCTACAAAAATCAGTCAGTCACATTTGGGATTGCAAATTTCATACTGAGCCAGCCTTTGGACATTTCTACCTGGAGAATCTTTCAAACATTCCTAAAAAAAGATTGCTAAACTTGAATTGGGACATTTTAACATGTACTCTATGGGCTTTCTGCTGGGACTCTAGACAAAATTCATTCACAGAAAATTTTGTCATGGTACCGTATTTACTCAAATACCATGCGCACCTTTTTTCCCAAATTTCAGAAGAAAAAAGGGGTGCGCATCATAAGCAGGTACAAAATTTTAAAGAAGTTTTAGGAAGTTATGTGTGCATTATACTTGATTAAAATGGAGAAATTTGGAGCAAATGTAACAAGAAAACGTTTTTGTACTGAAAAAGTTGAAAATTGATGAGATTTTTGTTCAATTCATGCATAAAGTCAATTTTTTTTCATTTGCAAAATTTTGTGGTTTCAGATTCACCAAAAATTGGGATGCGCATCTTACTCAGGGATAAGATTTTGGCAACATTTCCAACTGAAAAACCCCTCTGCATGCCTTACTTAAGGGTGCATGGTACTTGAGTAAACACGGTATTTGCTGTAATGAGATTTAACTGTACAGTGGGGCCCTGAGATGAGGACGTAATTGGTGCATGAATCGTGTCCCAAGTCGGAAAGTCTGCATGTTGGACCTCTTCTTCGCATAGACTTCAATGGGAATATTTTTAATTGGTTCTCCTGCAAATGAATAAGTCCCCCAAGAATTTAAATTACAATAATTTTTTCTCAACTTCAAGGTACAGAAAATCATTGTACAGAAGAAAACCACACAGCATCTGCTATTTTTCCATCAGAAGGAGCTCAAAAAGCAAAAGAACAAGTCCTGCTATACTGAGTACATGTGATGGAAAAAAACTGCACAAAATTACCTGGCTTATGATTATGAATTAGGGTAATTTTGTGATTAAACTCATTTTCATAATTTTTAAACGTCAATTGCTCAATTTTTTCCAGACGAAAAAAATATAAAGAAGAAAATTTTTAATTCCTTCAGAAATCTTCGGAAAACTGTCCGTATCTCGAGTCACCGTGCGGATTTAGGAAGCAGCTTTTTGTAGTTGAGTGCCCTCAAGTCAAATTGTCCGTATGTCGGGGTGTACGCATTCCGGGGTCTCACTGCATCGTCAAATATTCGCATGCACGCTCGACGAAATCTGCTCAAGCTCTCATTAACGCAGTACTGCACAACATTTTCATCCCTTCACAGTTTCCACGACGGATCAGACGTGACAAAAATGAAAAAAAAAAAAAATGCTCCCAGTAACAAACTGCTGTACAGAACAGGTTGGTGCAGCCAATATGGTGAGTGATTCATTTAAAAAATAAAAAACAAAAAAATTGTCCTCTCCCTCTCTTGCAGGATTCATTTTTTTTTTCGTGGTTTCACCTGACAAGAATCGGCCGAGTGCAGCCATGGTGAACGTGGAGCTGGACCGCGGCGGCACGACGGGCATGAGCAAGTTGTTCACACTCGCCGTCGACAGTCGCGACGATTGACTTGGTTCACAGCCGTCCCTGAACCAGCCTTCTGACCTGGGTCGGCCCGCACGGAAACGCATCGATCCTACCATCATCCCCAGACGCAGACACGTATACAAAGCTCGTCATTTCCATTACATCCGGTGAAAGAATTAAACAAAAAATACAGTATCGAAGGGCCACCACCAACAAGAAACGCGTTCCGGAAGCAAGAATTTTTGTTTGGGGAAAGGAAGGAGAACAACAGGAAATTATAATTATGGATATTATGGGCCTGCGATCGCTTTTCAAACGAGTTGACAGGATGCTGAATTTGTTGATGAATCAGTCCCCACACTATTTGAGGAAACATCTCGAAAAAGAAAAATGGAAGTCGCCCGTTTATTTTGGAAAAGGGGATGTCAAGCTTTCCAATCATACATATTAATGGGTCTTTTTAATACACAGTCGAACTTCTTTTGCAAGTCGAACTTCAAGAGAACAATAACAAAACTCGAGTTAAATGGGCTTCGAGTTGGATAAACTAGCATTTTCGTTGAGGAGAAAAGAAAAAAAGAAATTGTACTTGGTGATATTCTAGGCCTTAAATGGCCTCTTAATGAGTTTACAGGATGCTGAAGTTGGAGGCAATTGGCCCAATTGATCGTTCACTTCCTTTGAAAACGTATCAGATTAAATTTATTGCTTTTCTCTTCCCTGTGTCAATGAAATACTGTAGTAGCCAAAAGGTCTCCATGAAATTCGAGATAGGGGGGTTTGACGGGGAAGCCCTCAAACCCCCCACAAGTAGATCTTTCATACATTGCTTCTAAGGCAATTCAGACAGGGACTCGAAACAAAATTTCACATGGGAAGGTATTCGACTTGAAAGCGGTCCGAGTTATCGAGGTCAAACTATAAATAAAAAAGAAATAAATGTAGTGCCGCCTCAACATACAGCATTCGATTCTCTTCCTGCTTCCGTCCATGTGACTGGTAAATACCGACGATTAGTGGACAAGTCTCTGCGAAACGTCTGTCATCTTCAAAAAAATACAAGTTTCGAAATTGTCTCTTCGGGACGAAAAAGGCTTTGTTTCTACACGTCGGCATATTTTAGATGGAATTAAATAATTTTTCGAAGAAGAAATACAACCCACAGAGAATATATATTAATACAGTACTTGAGACTTGAGAAAATTATAAATTTCTGTCTGGCACTAAAAAATGAATAAATTGAAATCATAGCTTTTTTTTCTTCAAAAAATACGAACATCCTTTTTTCATAAATTTCTGAAAATTGTTCATAAAATTGCACAATTTTTTGATGCAAAAAACTCGATTCCTAATAACGTTTTCTCCGGTTTTTATCTTATGCACTTCAACGGCAGAAGAATGAAAATTCGATTCGTCATTTCGAATCACCTCTCCTGCAACGACTGAAAGATTTGTTCTCCTCACTGAATAGAGAAAGCTACTGGAAGACAGATACGGCAAAAAAATGTTCCTCGATCATCCGACTGCGATTTTTAAAACAGTGATTTCAACCTTTCTCTGGCCAAAATTGCGCGGCCGAAACAAATGCCACTTTCTTTTGATCACGAAAGTGCAGTGCACAACCATGATGAAAGGATCGAAATTCCCTCAAAATGAAAAGATTCCGCTTCTTGTCATTTTTCGCCTTCCGAAATGAACTTCGGTGGTTAACCGATGATTCAAAATATCCTTCAAAATCCCACGAAAAAATACGGAGGATCGACAGGTACAGTACGTGAAATATTTTCCCTTGAAGAGGCATAATCAATTCGAAGACTCAACCAATAAACCTCGCATATCACTACGGCATCCAACATCACTTTCCCGCAAATCTGTCCGATTGCTTTGGAATCTCCAAAATTTTCCACCACACGTATCCCGGTTCTAATTTGAAACCCCAACAAGCCACAGAGCACTTCGTGCTTCTCTTCTCCGTTCGCAGATTCAGTAACTGAACACCAAGTACCACACTTTCACAGGGACATGGTAACAATTAATTCCGGTGCGGATAAGAACACCAACACGAGGCACACAACGTTCGTTAAAATTGTTCTCAACAAGCCAATATCATCACGCACACACAAGCCGTAATAAAACAGAATGTAGGGACAGCCAAAAAAAATAGTTCCCGGATAAAAAAAAAATTATTCAGCAGCTTGTTACGGAAAAAAAAAGACAGTGAACATACCTCGAGTAATGGCGGGAGACGGCTGAGACAACAGCGTCGCTAGGCCATGAAAGAAAGCACCTTGTTTCGCCACGGACAAAACAACCGTCGCGCCTGTTTTCATCATGATTTCTGCGGCTCTGATGAGAATGAAAAAAATACATACGTGACATCTTCTTTCGGTGCTTGAACAATGTCACACTCACTTTTCCTGGGTTATTCCGACAAGAGAATGACCATCAACTTGCAAAAGCTGATCGCCAGCTTGCAATCTTCCGTCCTGATCAGCCGCACCACCTACGGACATTCAAGTTTAGTTCAACTATCTTTTTTCCGTCGGCAAGATGTCGAGAAAATATTCATGTGCACACATCAAAATTTCGCCTTTTCTGAAAAGAATTCCGCTAAAAGATAAGAGATAAATTCATGACTTGATGTGATATCATAAATTTTGTACATGCTTACAACCAGAAGCTTGTTCGAAACGCAGAGAACTTCCGGCACCAAACATGAGTGGGTTTTGAAAGTGATTCTGAACCCTTGTGATACATAAGGTCTTCACATCATCCATCAATTTAAATTAGCTTTGACAAACACTGCAAAGAATATTTCTTGTTTCACATACTGTATAGAAGAGACATTTTTGATTCAGACTCTACACAAAAAATACCAGTACAGCATAGGCCCTTTTTTAAAGTTACAAGCTGGGGTGCCCAGCCACACTTAAGCACTGGAGAAATTTGAAAAATGTGCTCAGGTAATGTGTGGAAGAAGGGATGCCCAGTGGTGTGCCCCAGTCACACAACTGGGCATTGTGATACAAATTATACACAGATGAAAAAAAACATCGTATTAAACCTGGTTGCAGGTTGAAAGACCACTGGTAATCTCATACTTGTGCTCAATGCACCAATGGCTTGATTCAGACTCTACATGAAAAAAACCTCTACATGTAAAGTAATTTTTTCTGTTTTTTAGCCAAGGCTAGCTCAAATTTTTGCAACACATGATCTTTGATCCCAAGTTCCAAATCACTGTTAAAGCTCCCTCTTTTCACAGGACTATCCTGCAAAGAGGGAGGACAGGAACTATTGAAGGATTCTTCAGAGATATTAACTCAGACATTTCACAGAAATAACGTGGGACACCAGTACACCACAAAGTTTACATGGCAAGAAAACGCTTCACAGGTTCAACAATAGTTTCCACATTTATGCCAAGAAACGCAACAGAGGCAAACGACAACTAATTCATATTTTCCAACGCTCAACGTCACAAACCCTGCAATTCTCTGTCATGAAATACGCGTCATCTGAGAGCATTGTTATTGTTAGGCCACAAAAAGAACGTGAACAGAACCAACACACCTTTGACAACGCTCTTGATGTAGATTCCAAGTCTGTCTTGCCCAACACCCTTGGCGGCAACAATACTCAGACCCATTCCTGAATTCGATTTCTGCAACCTAATAGTGACAACTTCTGGTCGCTGATTCGGCTGCGGGGTCGGGGGTGGTGGTTGTTGTTGTTGCTGCTGAGCGACAATAGCCGCCCTCGACGTCGGTCTCGGGGCAGAGTATTGAACCGGTGGCGTCGTTGACGGAGGACTCATGTAAATGGTCCATAAACCCGGGCTCGCGGGTTGGGCCACGAGTCGACACGACCCAGCGCGTTGCAAACCCGCAAGAAACTCAGGAAGCCCCTGGGGAAGACCACGGACCACATCGCAGCTGTAGCCGTCTTCGGGAAGCATGAAAGCTAGTCCGAGCTCTTCGTCTTCCTCGAGACGCACGACACGACCATCGGCTTTCAGCAATTCGTCAGCTGTGTTCTCTGCCACGCGAACCACGCTTTCCACCAGCTCCCTCGGGATCTCGGGCTCATTCCTCGTCGGGGTGAACCTGTAGTCGGAAAATGTATAATAAAACATCAACAAGATAGCCGGACAATCTCAAGCACGCACGGACATCAGATCACTCTAAACAGGACTAATACGAGGGGTTTTTCACTTGCGCGTGACTTCGATTATATATAGAGAATGTATGACTGTAAAAAAAAATTAATATTCATGATATAGCCCATCATGTTGAAAGGTTCTGGTATATTTTCAGATTTATTTATTTACTTTAATTTACAGTCAACACCCGCCTAACCTTAACTGCTCCCTGGATTTTTACCCAACTGACCGCCTCTGAAGGCATTTTTCCTCCCACCTGAAGGACAACATCCACCCAACGGGCTCCTGTTGGTTAGAAATTCATGGTAAAAAGTAATTTTTTTTCAATACTGTAATTGAATTTGCACAACAGACTTTTCACATAACAGACTAGTGTGTTGCGCAAATTAAGTCTGTTGTGTGGGGGTTGACTGTACTGGTGATTAAAAGTGAAAGCTCTCCAGTTATGGCCAGAGTTCTCCACCCATGTCACAGAAAGCCAAAAAGTTTTCGGGCCAGCTAAAAAATTACATTTTTCCCATTTTTAAATAATGGTTGAAACAAAAAATAAATTCTCCGTTGGCCTGAAAAATCGAGAATTTGCAGTATAAACACAAACCAAGGACATCAGAAAATAAAGAAAAGCAAATCTGGACCCTTTTTAATTCTTGTTGGTGGCTGAAGTCATTGACCCCATGCTCTTCTCACATCTTCCATCACACAGACATCACCTGCTTTTTTTTAACGTTTTGTTGTGCGAGGTCAGGAAGCATATTAATAGGCAATAGGTTACATCTTTCAGGTTTAGTAACCTCGTTTCCAGGAAAATAAACCTACTTTGACAATCCCAACAGCAGTCGGGAGTTGACGTAGCGAGCGAAAAACCATAAAATAAACTTTTGCTTTCCCACTAACACATTTCAATTACCGTATTTATTTATGTATCATGTGCCCTTGAGTAAAACAGGAACCCCGACTTTTCACCCACAAATTTAAATGAAATCATATGCCCGACCAAGACGCGCACTCCATTTTGGATGACGGAAAAATTACAATATTTAAAAAAAAGAGGCCAAAATTATGATTTGAACATGAATTCATCCTAGATTCAATGTATTTCCAATTTTTTTTAAGCGCCTTTCAAAATTGTTCTGTTTTTTTTCAAGTGTGACGCGCACCTAAACTTCATAAACTTCAATCCTCGCACCCGATTTTGATCTCTCAAATTAAAGAAAAAAGGGAAAACATTTTTTTCAAGAGTCCACAGCAGAAAAGAGCAGTGTAGGCGTACTTTTCGAGGAGTGCTCGAAGTTGCATAGAGTTGAGCTTGAAACAAGCGCTGGAGATCATCGCAATATCCTCAGGCGTCCACTTGGGAGCTTGAAGCAAATGAGCAGCCTGAGTGATGCGAGCCAAATGACAATCCGCTGCCAAATCCAGTCCCTGCTTCTCCGCCCACGTTTCCAAGTCTGCAAGACGCTCCGCGATCGCATGACCCCATTGCGTGGAGCACAAGTTGCCCTGCTCACAGACTGTCACGCCTACAATGCGGTTGAACATCCACCTATGAAAAAAAACGACAAGTTGAAAAAGAAATCACAATCACAGCGGAAGTTCAGCGACAAGGAACAACCTGGCCAACGATATCAAAGTTGAATTGAACATCAGATACGTGTAACGATTTTCCGGGTTTTAAACGAAGATCGATTACAAACGCACTTCGTTGTCGCCGATGGAGACTTGAACCGTGATAAATTCCCAACTAATGAACATCCACAAACAACATCGACCTACAACCAAAATGTGAACTCACTATCTAAAAACAAGAAACCCTGCCCGTCAAACACGTTCATTATCGTAAGACAACAACTCAAATTAGAATCGCCGACCGACCGAGTCTCGATCACCGACACCTACATAAATAATCATAATCCATCAATAATGACCTTTAGTGTCGACGATGTCTCCTCAAATTACCGCTAACTATTGTATCGTAGTTATTTGAATAAAAAAAACGGCGAGATTACCTTCAGGAGCACCATCAAACGGAAAGCTAAGAAGGTAATGAAAAAGTGATCAGCCTTGGTACACGACAATGCAGCACATGATATTAAATCAGAAGGACGTGTACTGTGCACGAAGTACTCATTGAGAAACGAAACTTACGACGTCATACCAACTTTTATAAAGCAGCAGAGCGAGAATCATCTCGTTTTCTTAAACGACGGAGTGTAATTAGAAACTCGCGAACATACTGCACTTCAGCATTTTCCTTTTTTCAGATAAAGCCAAACGATCAGTTTCGTTCATCTCCACAGAATGTTGTCCCTTTACTCAAAAGTTTATTAATTTCACGAAAACAGGCGGCCACTTTTGCACTCATTAACCCACATATACGCGACATTAGAGTGAATCACTTTCAGGATTTCCAATTCTATCGGGTGTCCGTCGTAAATTTTGCACATCTTCAGAAGTGATCTAAGCAGTGTTCCCCAACCCATGGTCCACAGACCAGCACCAGTTCGCAGAATTTTTTTGCCGGTCCGCGGGAGATTTTCTTCGGCATAATAAATTTATCAAACGTAGCAATAAAGTCTGTTATCTCCATCTGAAATTTCAGAAAGACAATAGCAGTTGAAATCATCTGATGAAAAATAAAAGTTGGCTTTTCTGCTAATAACACTTCAGGCAAATTTTCATCCATTGAAATAAATCATTCAAATTTTCCATTCTCAGAAACATTTCTTTGAGCTCCCCTTTCTAATTTTTGGAAGTCTCTTCCACTATTGGTGCTTCATTGGTTTTCCGCTTAATTTTGGCAGAAAAGCAGAAACTTTTCAAATACCTGTCTTTCAAGCAAAACCTTTTCGAGTCTGCAAATATTTTATGGAAATTTGCCAGTCCGCGGACGCAAAAAGTTTGGGAACACTGATTCCGAAACTCAGTAAGTTCAAATCTTCAAGAAGTGCATGCATCAATGGCACGAACAATGAAAATTGCCCGAACAAATCGGTCGACAAGACTTCTCGGGAGGGAAAAAGAACCGCCAGAAATTAAATTCCACCGAAGCGTACACGGGAAACTAACGCACCGATTGACGAAATGGAAGAGATGAGAGAAGAGCTGAATGGTGAGTGCAGCATTCACTCGACAGCGACGAAGCGTCGCCATCCCAGCAGACAAGCACTCAACGACCCGCCTCGTCCCAGCACCGCCCAACACGTCACCCATGACCATGTCCAAGTCTCGCGTCAGACCGCCAACCAGGTTCCGAAAGGCCACCTGAACACACTCGGCCAAGATGTCCTGCGCGTCCAGACTGTAGGCAGACACGTGACGATCGCACTTCAGGAAATGCAGCAGTTCCGAGGCATTCGCCATCCAAAACGCCAAGGCTCCAGGGTCATTTTTGGCAGACTGCGTGGTGTGCTCAATCATTCGAGCCACTTTCGTCAGAGTGTGGGTCAGTTTGATCGCACGTTCCGGGGGCGAAAGTTCTTCGCGGAAATGTTTGGAAGCCCGGTAGCGGGCAGCCAAGTACAGTACATACGTGGGCGCCAGTTTGAAATGTACCACATTTGGATCCAAGCTGCGTATGACCACATTCAAGAAGCTGTCTTCTGCGGCTTCGCCAACTTCCAAACTCGCGGGGAGAATAGGCTCTGTCCGGAATGCTCTGCGGAACGAACAAAACGACATGAATAAACCACAGATACAGTTGAACATCGATAAATCGAACCTAATAAGTCCTTCTTATGTCAAAATGTTTTTCACGTCCCTGCCTCCCTCGGAAATAATTCATCCACAATCTGTCTAGCTCGAAGCCTTTCCCCTCCGACCTCCATGAGTCTAGATTTTAGGAGGCATTTTCGCTATTATTTTACTGACACAGGAAATGAAAAGCAATAAAATTGTAAATTATTGCATTTTTAAGGTAAGTGCGGTCAATGCCCAGAACATCACCACTTACAATTTGTCAGTAATTATTCTTTCTTCCCCTTACAAAAATGCTTGTTTCCCAATCTTGTAACCTCAAAACTCGAATAATTTTTTGCTGGTTCCTGGAAGTTTGACTGAAAGAGGTTGAACTGAATGAAAAAAATATACTGTATCGAGAGCTTCTTCAATTATATGATAGCTTTCAATTATCGGCATTTTTCCCTTGACCATTCAGGATACAGAGATATAAGCGTACAATGATTTTTCATTCAGCATCGTGACTTCTTTCCTTTTTTTTGCGGCGAATACGGAAAAATGTTAAGATTGAAGTCAAGTACTGCACATGATCAGAGGACATAGACGACAACGTACATTGAAGTACTTCTTCAAAACTGAGTCACACCAACGAATGAAAAAATTTACGATTTAAATTTATACGAAGAATACGATGCATTGCGAAGAATACAATTGAAATAGTGGCACTCCCAGAGCTGAGAACTAAAAAAGAACATAACACATCATGCGGAACAATTATTCAGCGACAGAAATCTTGAAGGAAAATGGTCCTTGTTGACACCTCATGCAAATACACAAAACCTTCAAACCATGACTTACCGGCTGTCTCGTTTACTCATTATGGAAAGGTTGTCTGGCGGAGTCCCCGCTGGCGTCGTTCCCATCAAACTCCTCCTAATAAAAATAATCATTAATATTCAAAGTGTCCCTCTGAAAATTCCATCCCGGCGTCCAAAAAAGGAATAATATCGCAAAAGAGAAAACTTTCAAAGATCGAGATGCTTCTAGAACTCATGAAATAGGCAAATTTTCGAATTGAACAAGAATTTCTCCTTTTTAGAGTGATTCAGATTAAAGAATTGCGAAAAGATTTTTCCAACCTTCTATACTTCATTTTTTATGTTCCCTCAAACACTTCAAAAATCTGCAGGGGATCCTGGAATTTATTATCGAATTATTTTTCTTTGAATAAACCTCAAGTATTTTAACTTTTAGAGGTTACATGTGCGAACTAAGCTAACCAGCACTTCACAAACTGCTTTCTAAAGTTCGAAACACTCGGGATGGGACAGGGTTTATTGAACATGCACGGGACGCTTCAGTGGAACAATGGACTGCACTGTGCAGTGAGACCCCAAGATGCAGACATAAGTGATGCTTGGACCTTGTGCCTATTTCGGAATGTCCGCATGTCGGCTCTCATTTTCCCATACACTTCAATGATAACTTATTCCATTAGTTCTCCAGTTCATTGAAACTTGGGAATAAATCCCCCAAAAGATCAAATAGAATGTGTCTCTCAACTTGAAGATGAAATGTATAACTCTATAAAATAAACAGCACAGGATCTCATCTGGCATCAAGAAGACCTAAAAAGCAAAAGAAAAGTACAAATCTTGCTATACTGTGCACAGATAATGGAGATTATTCAGATAATAAATAATTCTTCCGAAAAAGAAGCAAAAAATTGAATTGTTTTCGTATATAAATTCGAATGTAAGCACATATATATACTAAAAAAATCATTTTTTACTTTCGTGCATACAGTACAGTATACATGGCTCAATTTTTTCAATAAATATCCAAATCTTTAAAAATGAAATTCTGTTTTTTAGAAATGTTGGAAAAGTGTCCATATGTCGAGATTTTGTCTGGATGTTGGGTAAGTTTAAAGTGTCCCCAACACCCCAAGCGCAATCGTCTGTATGTCGGGGTCCCACTTTTGAATCATTGCGACTGATCAATGAGCCTTGAACCGCAAGAAAATCTCCACAAAATGAGTAACGCTGTGACTCACTGCTCAACAAACGATACAGGACGAGAGGTCGGTTGGTCGAGGAATCTGAACGTGTGCACTCGTCCAAAGCGGACAACAGCACCATGTTGCAGGAGCGTCGTGTCATAGATTCTCTGACCGTTAACATACGTTTCTGCATCTCGCGAGCATGGCGTAACAGTAACAATACCCTCCATGTGCGCAATAACACAGTGTCTGGGCTGAATGCTTGGTCCAAATATTTGCAAACACTGTCCGCCATCGTTGGCGTCCGGAGTGGCAGATCCAACCTCTGTAACATTCAGTTGTAGAAAGTATCGAGTTGGCGACCCCGACCGAACTTCACTCCCGTCCGGATTTATTTCCAAGAACATTGGAAGCGAGGATGGAGTTCCAGGTGGAACCAAAGTGGCTTGGGATTCGTTCAAAGAAGGCTCCTTCTTTTTCTTCCGCTTGCGAGGCTGATAATCAGCGGGTCGCTTTCGTACGTGGAAAGTTATTGAACCGGATTGTTGCATCATTAAAATTGCTAACGGACAATCGTCGTCATCAAGAACGTATTCGCGAGTGGCGGAGATGCGTCCATTGTTTCCTTCGCCGGATCCGGGGGTCACCACTTGAATGAGGCAATAGTTGAGCGCTTCTTCATTATCGAGTCCGTACTTGTCCAGCATTTCCTTGACCACAGTTGCAGCAGAGTCTTTCACTGACAAAAGCAGCGTTTTATACGGAACATCACGACACAGGGATTCACCATAAATCTTGAGGGTGCCGCCAGTGTCGGGTCCACCATCACGCGAACGAAACTGCTGCAGCTTTTTCTCCAATTTTTGCTGACGCCGACGTCTCATGACTGCTTCGGGATTGCTGATACTACGAGTGAAGCTGGTTTCAGGAAGCTCCGAGTACAACTTCTCGGCCACATTCGATGGCTGTTCAGGAGTCGTGCCACCACTGGATTTCATTCGACGTAGTTTTTCTTGCTTCTTGAGCTGTTTCTTCTCCCGCTTCGAAAGTTTTCGCTTAAAGCTGGTTTCAGCCATCGGGCTTGGAACTGAATTTGATGTATCATCAAATCGACGGAGAAGAAATCGGCCTTCTCGATCATCTTTATGCCAATTTAATTGGACCAACAGTGGCTTTTCATCAAGAGACATCTTCCTCTCAGCTGTGGAAAGAACACGGAGAATTTGGTTACAAAACTAAAATTGATGAATCATGCAAAAAAGAACTCACATCCGTTCTCATGGATTTCAAACAAGGAATAGTCTGGGCTGCTCAACATTCGCATATCCGGTCTAAATTTTTCAATCAACGTTTCGATCACTGCATTTGTCGTAGCAGTAGAGGAAACACGAATGCATTTCGTAGCCACTTTTGATCCATCATCCAGATAATAAAACCGCATCACTCCATGGAATTCCAAATCCTTCGAAAACAAGCAGTTATTATCCATGGGACAGGAATTTAGCAATCAAACTTACTTCGTTTGGATCCGATAACGCGAAGAGATCGAGTCTGTTAGCATTCCATTGTTGAACTAAATGTCTAAGCTCTTCTCGCTCTTGATAACGATCCATCGCGAATGCAATGATGGACTCTCGCAAAAAAAAGCACTTAAACGCACATCACTTTTCTATCTCGTGAATGGAACACGACTAAAAATATGGACAGGTCCGAACATCCTACCAAAATGGGAGTATAAATAAATTAGATATCATCAACCGGAGGATTCTTTCCATTTCAGCGAAAAAGTCACAAGCTCGAGATTCACAGAAAATACTAAAGCTCCATTCTCACAAAATCAATGTTCAACACGCAAGAACATCAGTGAATGCATAAACACAATACTTTTGACTCCTTTAAAAAACGAACAAGCACACTTGGGTCCCCCCAAGTGGGATAGCTGAGGAAGTTCGAAAGACTGCATAAAAGAACCATTGCCGATGACTTCGTCGTCTCAATGACCGTGATAAAACCGGTACGTAATTCTTGGCTTCGTCCAAGACTGATGCGAGCTTTAAAGTTGATTATTCTTCCATGAGGTTCCGCGAGCCAACGATTTCATCGAAAATCTCAACATCGCCACTTGTATCGCACGGAAGCAAAAGTACATTCCACAAACGTCAAATAGATATCTGCGTTCTCCAATATTTCGAAGTCGGAACAGTGGAAGGGCGACTATTACGGAGGTTTAATCATGCAGTTTAGATTTTTCGACAGATATACCCCGGAAAACCTGATATATCACTATAAATTCAATGAGGGCGGCCATGTTTTACAGCTGCTGTCCTCTATCCACCAGACATTTTCATGCTCCTCCATTGCTTTACTGCCGACATCTATGACTGTTACAAACAAACTTTCTTTCCAAGTGTTCCAGCATACTTATGGAGTGTAGAGAAACATGTGCCCTTATGACTGATCATGCTTCGAGAATTTATGGTGTTCTAAAAACGACGACTTTTTTTTTAAAAGCTCACGCAATGTGGCCAAATGGCTCAGTCAAAATCAAGGTGAAAGCAATTTGAACTTGTCTAAATGGCAAATATAAGTCGTTGGACAATGAATGCCCTGCTTTTTTTTTTAATGAAAACGAGGAAGAAGTTTGAATCTAACTTCCAGTGCCTGCCTTCGCCAGAAAGATTACGTTCCACGTGCTGGAGTTGACACAGCTCAGCAGAGATAATTTGACAGGGCAAGGGTTGAATTCTAGAACACATTTTGAGTCCAGCTCCCACAGTACACACTGATGTACAGTACACAGTGAGCATGTATAGCACTATATAGGACCTCAGCATTTGGACAACTGCAGCAGCACCTTTGAGGAAATTGGTGCAAACTAGAGATATGTTTGTAATTCTGCACAGTGATCCTGCTGTTCACCTGAAGTGTACCAAAGTTATTCTTTTGCACATGCATGCATATATCTAATGTGCACCAATTATGTGTTCACACCAGGATTACTCATGCAGGGTCACATTTGTAAACAAGTAAGTTACTCCAAGGTTACAGTTGTTGCATTTGTGTTATACTCCTGTTATGTCACATTTTTGCACCAAATCTAGCCCAGGAATGGTAGCAAAATTTTGTCTACAGAGATGCGTGCTTGTAACCCCAGAAAAGCCCATGTACACCAATTGTGACCACAATGTACCCCATTTGTGGGGCCACACAAAGAATATCTCCTCACTTCGGGCAGTTTTTTTTGGCATGACACATTATTTGCACCAAGCAGCAGCATAGTTGATGCTATAGAAAATGATGCTGGGCTGCATTCCACGCTAGTTTTGTCTGTCATGACCTTCTTTTTGTGACCAAAATTCAGCTGCAAGGAGCAAGAGTGAATTGGAATGGCCAGCATTTCTTTGAGGCTCACTGCCAAAAATCGCACCTCGGTGTTATAAAGTACTAGCAGGAAGTCCAAAAATTCGGGAACACCGGTATGGTTCAGCATATTATTGTAGTTTTCTTTTTGTTCAAAGGAGCAGGAAGATTCCATGGAGTTGTTGACTTATATGTCATTATTTCTGTTCTTCATGCGGTCTGATACATCTTAGGAAGAAGAGAAACCCACATTTGGAATAAGATCTCTTTTCCCTCATTATACAGACCGCGTATAGAAGCTGATCTTGTTGTCCAAAACAAAAAGCATTGTAAAGTATTTTCCATGGCATTCCTGCATATAGTTTTTCTTGGTGCATCGGAATGAAATTACAGTGGACCCTTGGATGGTTGACAAACTGTTGTCGTTGAAGAAAAATATCCCAGTCAACTATCAAAAATTCAGTTAACAAACGTTTGCTGCCAGGAACAATTCCAAATTTTAAAATTCCAAATTTTGATCATGACCCTGAGCATTGAAGTACAGTTGACTCAATGGACTTCTGCACAACAGATTTTTGCACAATTTTTCCTCCCATGCAACAGACTAAATCTACATAACGAAGTTCTGTTTGTTCAAAATTGATGGTAAAAGTAAAAACCCTTTCCTAATATTAGAATTTGCCTGAAAGACTACAGTTCTCTGTTGGAAAAATCGAGTGCATTGCGCAGGGGTCAACTGTGCCATTTAGGTAATTTCAGTTCCAATGAGTAAGTCAAGCTGAGAAATTATTTGGCAGACCAAAGGCTTACACAACATTTTCAAAGATTTTTCAACATGAAGTGAGTGAATGAGCATTCTTGTGGTTTGAGCTGAATCATTTAAAGAAGTGATATCCAGCTCTAAGAAGCTGTGAAAAAATAAATTTAAAACTGATTTTTCTAGGTGTGTTCACTGCTCAACTGCCATATTGTTTTCCCTAGTTACAGCATTGTGGAATTAACTTTTTTCTTTTGGCAGTTATCCTGCTCATATGTGAATTTTTCTGGATACATGATGCGAAGCTTTTTGGGTGCTCTTTTCATTCATCATCCAATCATTGAATCCGCATGCATAACAAAACTTTGTAAACTTTTTGAGCATGCAACAATAACTAATTCTGAGTAGAGATTTGTCCTGACAATTTTTTCATTGCGCATGTGCAATTGTATTTTGGTTGCAAGGAAAAGATTAATTGATTATCCCTAGAAGTCTATGGGAAACTCAAATTTGGTCAACAAGCTGTTTGGTTAAGAAACTTTTGTCTGAAACCAATTAAGTTTGTCCACAACTGAGGGTCCACTATATAGACATGGGGTTCCACTGCAAGGTAGTTCCTGGTGCAAAGGAGTGGACTTTTGAAAATTATTTGAGACATCGATTCTCAATGCAATTTGTGCTTCAGGAATTAAAGGAAGTCCCTGGAAGCAAAATTGCCAAAATTGAGTCTGCAGCATAGCATTGCTTCACTTCTTGAGGAAATTTGTGGAGTTAGTTTTTCATACTGAAACTGTTGATGGTTTTCTTTTGAACCCCACAGGGCTGGTCCTTCCAAAAATTTGAATTTGCCAGACCCAAAAGGGGGATTTGCGTGATGAATGTTGTTTCAACTCAAAAGTTGTTCAATGGGATCATGGCTCAGCAATTTCAGGGAGCTTTAGTTTATTTTTTTACAACTATTGTGTTAAGAACTAAAAGTTTGCGTTTTGCTTGCAAGTATGCTACCAGTATTTGGCATTTCAGGGCATTCAAGTACAGCAATGAAACCCAGCATGTAAATGCCCCAACATCTGGACAATTTCATTGAGGGATCACTTGATCGCACAAGAAAGATGCCCAAACATCTGTGCAATATCTCAACATTAAAATACCTTAGGCAGTACCAACATGCATGGAAAAAAGAAACATTTCATACATCAGAAATCTGATATCTGAAACAAATAGGCTTTTCTATTTCCAAAAAGTAAAAAGAAATGTTGTTATAAATTTTAATTCTGTTCATAATTGAAGATAGGCTTTGCTTTTTTTCTGGAGGTGTTTTAATCAACTGAGCACAGTATTGGAAAACTTAATTGTGCTTTTTCTTTGCTCAATTCCATATAAAAAAATTAGATCTTGTGTGAATTTCTTTGGCACAGCTGTTGTTTTCTGTATCTTGAAGTGGTAAAAATTACTTAATTCCAATTTTCGGGTAACTTTTCCCAAGCTCCTGATCAACAGGAGAACCAATTGAATAAGTTGCAATTGAAGTCTATAATGAGGAAAACATGATCCAACATGCAGACATTCTGACATATTGTGACAAAACCAAGTGCTAATAACCTCTGCATCTGGGGGCCTCATTTATTCAGCAAAAGATGACGATCAGGGCAGCAAAATAATGGACAGACCTCCACAAACAACAGGAAAAATTTAGAAAAATTCACACACTCAGAAAGAACATTAGCCTGCAGCAATTTATCTGCCCTGGGATGAGCTACTTGTGCTGATCACTATTGATCAGGAATTTGAGCCTCTTCAATCAACCAGAATCCTGCCATTTTAAAGGCTCCATCAATAATGCATCACCCTGACATAAAATTCTGCATAAGGAAGAACAACCTTTTATCCATGTAGCGTGGAGAGAAAAAATAAAATGTAAGCTTCAATTGAATAAAATACAATATGGATATGCATTTTGATATATGCACACTTCAAACATACACAAATGAAAAATAAGGTGATTTGAAAGGAAACTTCCGAAAATATGTGAGGGAGTTTCCCTGAGAATAAACACTGCAGTAGTCTAGGACAGTGTTCCCCAACTCATGGTCCTCAGACCCGCACCAGTCCACAGAAGTTTTTTGCTGGTCTGCAGGACATTTTCTGATGCATGATGTATTGAAAAAAGTGGTAATGGAGTCTGTTATTTTTTGAAATTTTGGATACACCATGGAAGGGAATTTTAAATGATGAAAAAAAAGTTGGGTTTTCCTCCTTATAACTCTTGACACTCAAACAGTGCAATGAATTGCACAGTTTTTTCTACAAAATTTTCGTTCTTTTAAATTTGGGTTAAGGCTAACATGAATGCTTCTTTGCATCTACATTGAAATCAATGTGGAAAAAAAGAGAATCTAGATGTAAAAAGTATCCATAATTGTCTGAACCTAAAATTAAAACAACAAAAGTGTTGTATGAAGAAAAGGGGCAAGTTTTTGCACTGTATGAGTTGTTGCTGCTGTAAGAGCAATTTGCCACTGTATGACTTGTTACTGTGCAAGTTCTTGCTGTTTAAATTGTTGGAGAATCCTCGAAGAAAGATTCCACAGAATTGAAAATTAAAAAAATT